ATTAATGCACTATTGGTGGAGCTGTGAATTGTACCAGTCATTCTGGAAAGCAGTTTGCAAATATGCCCCCCAAAAACTACTGAATTGTGCATACCCTTTGGCCTGCACTACTAGATCTGTACCCCAAAGAGATCAAAGAAAAAAGGAAAAGGACATGTATATAACAAAATATTCATAACAATTATGTTTATAGTGGCAAAGAATTGTATACTTGAGGGGATGCCCATTAATTTGGGAATTGATGAATAAATTATAGTATATGAATGTGAATGGAATACTATTATGCTATTAGAAGTGATAAAGAGGTTGCTTTCAGAGGAATCTGGAAAGATTTGTATGAACTGATATAGAGTGAAGTGAGTAGAACCAGGAGAACAATTTATACAACAACTGCAATATTGTAAAGACAATCAACTTTGAAAATTTTAGGAACTCTGATCAATATACTAAACAACCATGATTCCCCAAAATTCATTATGAAACTGTCTACCTGTCTCTTAATAGAGGGGTGATGGACTCAGAATGTAGACTGAGACGTTTTTGAAGACATGGTTAATGGAGGAATTTGTTTTGCTTGACTGTGCGCTTTTGTATCAAGGGTTTTGGTGCTGTTTTTTGTTTTGTTTTCTTTTGGTCTTTCTCAATGGTTTTGGAGGGAAGGAAGATGGTTCTTTGTTTGGAAAATAAAATTGCACCTAATCTGTGGAGTTTATATTTGATCCTAGAGGCAATAAGAAACCTCTTGAGCCAGATGAGTAGGGGAATGATGTGATCACATATATGTTTGTGGAAATAATTTGGATGGAAGAGAATATTGTAAAATGATGAAGTATAAAAACAAGGATCCAGAATCATTTTTATACCATGATGAGACATTGGAGGGGGACTTTAATGTAGGGAATCTATCATAAGTGCCAAGTGAATGGTACAAATAGTATTTGCTATGGGAGCTCAAGGCAAGAAAATTAATTGTGGCTAAAATAATCAGAAGAGGTCTGAAGAAAGGAAGTGGGATTTTATCTGGGTTTTGCAGGCTGGATAGGACTTGGATAGTTATTGAGGGCACCATTTAAGTGAGGGAAATCGCATTAGCAAAGAGAGAAATGAGCAAGGCAATCTGGGGGAGCTAGCCAGTTGACTTGGGGAGGAATAGAAATAGGAAATAAGGTTGGAAAAGTACATTGGGACAAGGACGTGAAATTTAATTTACTTCATTTCAAGCAACTTAAGTTTCAGCTGTATTCAGAGCATTCAGTGAGGCTCTGGAGTTACAAAAACAAATCAAAAAGAACTTATCCCACACATACTTTGTGTCAGGCACTGTGCTAATGCAGGGGATACAAATGTATTGAATGTCTTTGACTTCACTCTCCTAGAGCTATCCTAGCTGAATCTCATTCTCAAGATTCTGGAGACATCCCCGAGGGGTTGAGATGTTTCTTCACTAATGCTATTGGCTCATGCCTTTATCCAGAGAGCGATCCCTTCACTTTTACCCATCAGTGACTAGAAGGGTTTCATTTAGCCAACTAACATCAGTTAGCTTTTACAAATGGATATTTACTTGAAAGATATAGAAAGAACAGAAATACCAACATACCCACTCAATACCTTGGGGCACATTTGCTTTACTTTACCTTGGTCTCTGGGAAAAGATCAGACTTAACACAGTTTACACATAGCACAGGTCTTACCAAGTTCAAATCCAGAAGCAGCCCTGCTGCTCATTCTCCTTATTCCTTATGGGATCAGTGATGAGCTTCTTTTAAAATCCAGCATGGATTTGACTTCTGGACTTCTGGATATTGGTTGTTTGTCCTCCTGAGCTCCTAAAATTCACAAGGTCATAGTCTTCTTCTTCACCTAAAATGAAAGAAAATTGATACAAATAACTAACTCCTATGTTCATCAGGCCACATGCTGTCCTTAAATAGTGAAAGTCCAAGACCTTTCTTTCCCTTCACAACATTGTCTCACCAGAATGCTGCCGGGCAGAACCAAGAGAGGAGGGGGCCAACTAGTGACTTTGAATAACTCCTCAGTTCTAATCTCATGGTTATAACCAATCAAATAGATTGCTATTCACTATGTGATTAGAAGACCAAAATCACCTGCCACAATGTCTACACATGCTCCAGATCTCTCCAAAGTGCTTCCATTGCATGTCATCACTCCTCTCCCAGAAAGCAAGTTCCTCAGTCTCTTCCATGTGGTGAATTGCTTCAGATTCATGCTTATGGAAACTAGGCTCAGTGGCTAGTCCCTTCATATAGGAAGAAATACCAAAAATACATATTTTACTCTTAAGGAGGTCACAATTTAATGGTGGATAAAACATGCAAACAACTATATGTATGTATATATATAACAGATATGCAGTGTAAAAAGAAGGTAATCTCAGATGGAAGACACCAGCAGTGGGAGAAAGAACTCATACAGAAGGTTGGATTTGAATTAAATCGTGAAGGAAGGCAGCAAATATGAGAGGTAGAGATGAGGAGAGAGACCATTCAAGGCATGGGGATTAGCAAGTGAAAAGACACAATCAGGAGACAGTGTCACAGTGTCATGTATGAGGAAGAGCAAAGAGGCCAATGTTGCTGGATTATAGAGTATGTGGAGGGATATAAAGTATTAGAAAAATGGAAAGGTAGGAAGGGGCCAGGTTGTAAAGGGTTTTAAAAGCCAAACTGAGAATGTTATCCTAGAGGTAATAGGAAGCCCCTGGAGTTTATTAAGAGTGTGTGCGTGTGTGTGTGTGTGTGTGTGTGTGTGTGTGTACACGTGCGTGCTTGTGCATGTGGTGACAAGGTCAGATTATGCATTAGGAAGATCACTTTGGCAGCCAAATGAAAGATGTACCAGAAAGAGGAGAGACTTGAGGTAGGGAAACCAACAAAAAGCTATTGCAATAGTTCAAGCAAGAGGTAGTGAGAGCCTGTAATAGGGTGGTGGTTGTGCAAGTAGAAAGAAGGGGACATGTAAAAATTGTAAAGGTAGAAACTAAAAGCCTTGGCAAGAGATTGTATTTATCGGGTGAATGGGTGAAGGAAATGAAATAATCCCTACCCTCAAAGAGCTTACCTTCTATTTGGTGCTGAGGGGGCAGGGATACAACATGTACACAGATGAATAGTAATAGCTAAACTTTGTATAGCACTTTAAGGTTTGCAGAATGCTTTAAATCATCTCAGTTGATCCTCACAGCAACCTTATGATATAAGTACCATTATTAACCCCTTTTTGTTGATGAAGAAACCGAGGCTGAGAAAAATTAAATGACTTACCCAGGGTCATATAGCTAGTTACATGTCTGAAGGAGAAGTGAAACTTAGGTCTTTCTGACTCCAAGTATACTCTAATACACTACCTAATTTCCAGTAATTGCAAGGGGGAGAGAGATACTAACATTTGAGGGGATTAGGAAAGGCCTCATATAGGAGATGTTACCTGAACTGTGTTTTGAAGGAAATTAAGGATCTGATTAAGGAAGAGGGAGTGTATTTTCAAATGTGAGGGACAACTTGTGGAAAAACATGGAAGCAGGAGATAGAATGTCATTTATAGGGAATAGCTAGTTCTACTTTGCTTGGAAAATCATATGAAGAGAACTAATATGAAATAAGACTAATAGGTATGAGCTAGAGAGATTATGGAAAATTTGAAATGTCAGACTGAAAATTTTATTTATCTTAGATGCGGTACGAAGCCACTGAAAACTTTTGAGGAAGGGAGTGACAAAGTCATAGCTGTGTTTTAGATTAGTCAGTAGTATATAGGATGGATTGTGTAGGGGGGGAAATGGAAGTAGGGATACCAGTTGGGCTATGCAGTAATCCAGATGAGAAATGATGAGGGTTTGAATTAAGATGGTGGCTACGTGTGTGGAGAGAAAGGGGCAGATATGAGAGATGTTGTGAAGGTAGAATTGACCAGACTTGGAAACTAATTGGATATGGTTATTGAGGCAGCATGAAGAGTTTAGTAATACTTGGAGACTGCAAACCTAAGTTACTGGAAGAATTGTTTTCCCCTCAACAGAAACATGGAATTGGGAGAATTGATAGGTTTAGAGAAAATACATGGCATAACAAACTCCATTTTGGAAATGTTGGAGCTGGAGATATTTATAAGACATTGAGGTGGAAATGTTTAGCAGCCAGCTAGTAATGCAAGACTGGGGTTCAAGAGAAATAGTAGGAGAGAGTAGTGTCATGAAAGCCGAAGAAGAGGAGTTTTATCCAAAAGAAGGAGGCGGTTTACAGTGTGAAAAGTTGTGGATAGGTTTATGGCAGATTCATGAATTCGCTAGAGTTAAAAAGGGACATTTCTGGTTTCCTAGTGATGCAGCTGTTATTAACGGAGTCCCTTCTAGAGCTGATTTTCTGTCATCCTCACACATTGTTTTCACCCTCTTTGTCATTTACATGTTTCAAGTTTATATGAGAACACAAAATAGTTTTGGAGGGTAGTAGGAGTTGTAATATTCAACCTTTTATTGGACATTTATCTATGTCATTGAAGTCATGGAATATTTTGACCTTTCTGCTACTTTATTTGCCATCTTTCACTTGATGAAATCCTGGGACAAGGGACAAACTATTTTAAATTTGGAATCTTGTTGGAGAGAGAGTTGGATGAAGTAGTGCTTTAAGAGGCAATGATGGAAGAAGAGTGGATCAAGAAGAAAACATAATAGGAGGTGAGCAGACTAGGTTTGTTCCTGAGAGAGGATCAGGGGAGACTGAGGGACTTTAAAGAATAGTGAAAGAAGATGTGTTTTATTTTCTTCTTCTGCAAAATAAGTGGGTTGGCTTAGATGATCTCTGAGTGTTACTTCAGCTCTGACGCTGTATGTTCTCAGGTCCTTGCCAGGTCTGACATTGTGTATTCCAGCTCTAATATGTAATTCTGTGTTGTAATCATAGCATTGGTTTTGTGAATATGAGCCTTTCTGGTGGGATAAGACAGTCTTCTTATATTTTATTTCAAACTTATAGACAGTAACCGAGGATAAGTATGAGGTTTCATCTGACACAGAAGAAGCAAATATAGTTATTGCCTCATGCAAGGAACCCAAAATGCAGGTTACGATTTCTGTCACATCGCCCCTGATGCGAGAGGATACTTCCACAGCCAAAGGTGAGGCATATGCTATTTCCTTCATGAAAGTCGCACCATCTTTTCCTTAAAATTCTTTATTATGTAACTGTTTCAGTATGTTGAGAGGTATCATGGTATTAACTGAAAGAAATATGAAATTGTATGACTCAGTTTGAATTCTCATTCTGAAATTTATTAGCTGTATGACCCTGGGCAAATTACTGAATTTGAATCTCACTTTTTCATCTGTAATATAAAGACACTAATATTTGTACTATTTCAGAGTATTGTTGTGAGGAAGGCACTTTGTATGTCTTAAAGTGCCATAGGTATTGGAATTAATATATTTACTGTACCCAGTGAGAGTATTTTCATTGTAGGAAGGAAATATGATGTAGTGGAAAGAACTTCCGGAGTCAGAAGACTCAAGTTTGAGTTCCAGCTTGACTGTTTATTGGTTGAGCTTGGACAAGTCATTTAACCTCTTAACTGCAGTTTTCCCATCTGTAAAATGGGAATAATACTTTGTGAGGAAACCACATATTGTACTAATGGATCTGTATTCTCATAGTGAGATACTCCCTGCAGTTGTGCAGATTGCACTGGATTTACACCTTTTCAAACTTCATAAAAAAGCATGAAAACATTTACTGTCCACATGCTTACATGAATCTTCTAAAGGGGCATGAGGATGGGACATACAGTGTACTGGAAGCCTTCCTCTAGGGCTTTTGAGAATATGTGGGTTCCAGTATAGCGTACTCAGGCTCCCAGCTGTTATTGCTCTCTTTCTCATGGCTAGACCACCTCCTTTTCCTACATGCGTTTCCTGCATAACCACTTTGTCATTAGGAATATGCTGTTGCCTACTTCTATGCACTGTACATCTTCCCATTCCTCTTTGGGTTGGCTATTGTTCTGATGCTTTTTAAAAATTTTTAAATTTTTGTTGATAAATTTTGTTTCAATGCATTACATACATCTTCAACTTCTTCCAATTGTATACCCCTCACAGCATACAATCCTCTAAAACTGTGAAGTAAAATAACATAAGGATGATTGCAACTGATAATATATGTAACCTTATATATAAGTAGTTTTCCATTTATTAAAATAAAGGGCAGATGTATGCTTTATAAGTTAGTACCAATATTGTCCAATGTTTTATAATCTTGGTTGTATTTCCAATTAAAATTGGCCTTATTTTTATAGTAATTGCGTATATTCTTTTGGTGCCTTTTTGTTCACTTTGCATGCAATTTTGATCCTTTGGAGATTGTAGTATTCCATGATTCACAATTCTACTGGAACATAAGAAGAATATTGATATTAAAAAGAACTGTGAACTGGTCCAGCCATTCTGGAAAACAATTTGGAACTATGGCCCCAAATCTATTAAACTACTCTTACCTTTTGATCTAGTGATACTGCTATAAGATTTATACCCCAAAGGGATCAAAGAAAGAGGGAGAAGCCTCATGTTTAAGATAATTATAGCAGCTCTTTTTATGGCAACAAAAATTGGAAACTGATGGACTATCCACCAGTTGAAGAATGGTAAATGAATGTGATAGAAGAATGTTGCACTGTAAGAATTGGTGAAGGGCATGATTTCAGAAAAACTTGAGAAGACTATGTGAGCTGATTCATAATGAATATGAGTAGAACCAGGAGAACAGTTAACAAATAACATTGTAAAGACAAATAACTTTGAAAAACTTAGTAACTCTGATAAACACAATGCCAACCATGATTCCAGAGGACTCATGATGAAACATGCTGCCCATCTCCAGGAAGAGAACTGATGGACTCACAAGGCAAGTTGAGTACTTTTTTTTGACATGGCCAATAGAGAAATTTATTTTGCTTGACTATACATGTTTGTAATGGGTTTGTTTTTCTTGCTTTTTCAATGAAGGAAGTAGGAGAGAGAGAATGCAGACCTAAAAATAAAAATTTTAAAAATAAAAAGCAAAAAAACCCAAAATAAATTAAAAGACAGGCTTTTGTGTTTCAGGAAATATATTTGATATCTTTGAAAATGCTGTGCAGTTCTTCAAAAGCAAGCCAGCCTGTGACTGTCTACCTTCCCATTTCCAGGCCCAACTTATTGTTTGCTTGCAGATTGTCCAAGAAACACATACTGATGTATTTTACAGAGACATCCTCTAAGCTGGGTCAATATAAGTAAACACGGTCTAGTCAGTAGGTTGTCTTCATTTATGAAGTTTTCCTGTCTGGATTGTTAGGTTGAGTTCTGTTAAGTGTTACAGTTTCCAGTGAAGAGTCTTTAATATTTGATGGCTTGATGCAGTCATCACAGTGATATCCTAAAATAGGAGATTCTGGAAAACCTCATTAGTTATAAGGACTTCCTCTTTTTTTTTTTATTCTGGGCTGAATATCTCTCTTGACAGTAGAAAACACCTTTAGAGACCATGCCACCTTATTTTAAGCCTTGCTTGGCATTATAGAGAAAAAAAGGGAATAAAGTTTTATCTATTGTTATATTTATCAGGGAGTCCTGTATGATTTAAGCATGTACATGGGAGATACTATTTTGGAAAGGAATATTTAAAGCTAAATGAAGTTCTGTGAAATCAAATGTTTTGTCATAAGCAATAAGCAAAGTCGGATCTTTGTGCAAAGTATTCTTTGCTCCTCTTAATCATTTATGCAGTTGAAGATGTGGTCTGCTGTAGCACACCATTGTAAAAACTTGATTCTATTAACTTTTTATATTTTTATCAAGGATCCCTAGGTACATGTCTAGACCATTCTCATAAAGAATAGAAATGAGAAGGTTGGCTTGTAAGTTGGTAGTTGCTAATAACCTCTTTCTGGCCTTTTTCTTTTGGTGGCAATAACCCCTTTGAATTTATTCTTCAGTTATTCAGTCAACCATAAGGTACTATATAAAATATGTGCTATTATCTTTGGTACCATATTCAGAAGGAGTAGAGCCTCAGAAAACTCTACTCTTTCTTCTTTATATTTCAAAGGAGAAAAAGTTCTGGAAAAAAAAAACACTAATACCTGCCATCTTTAAAATGTGACATAGTGAATAGGGCACCGGATTTGGAATCAGGAAGGCTCATATTCAAATCCCACCTCAGACATGGACCTGAGTCCTGTGTGACACCAAGGAAGTCGGTTAATTTCTCTATGCCTCAGTGTTGTCATCTGTAAAATGAGGATTTTGGATTTGATAACATCTAAGATTCTGTACTTCTAAATCTAAAGTTCCACTATTGGAAATTACCTTGCCACATTTTGTTAGAGAGGATTGTTGGTATTGTTCCCAGTTTATGATGAAGAAATAACCCACTTATAATGGTTTGTACTAATGGATTGTGATGATAGTAGCACCTGATGATTAGGTATATAGATATGAGAATGCATATAAGCAAAAGTGCCTCTATAGGTGACTGAAAACCATGATGAGGTTTGAAGCTTAGATATCTAGGAGTTTGTATTTTTACCCTGGGGCAAATGTGTTTTGTCAATATGTGATAATCACAGGATTTGGGGTTATTATAGGGACTTTAGTAATCATCTGGTCTAATTACCTAAGATGGAGAAGCTAAGGTACAGAGAGGTGATAACCTGTCTAAGATCTCACAGCTAGTAAACAGCAGAATTAGATTTTGGACCTAGGCCTTCTGAGTTAATGTCTTCACAGTGTCAGATTCCACAGGTATAGTGGAAGAAGCCTAGGAAAGTTCAAAGACTTGAGATTAAAGTTCAGTGGGAAATAATGTGTTCTGTTTTGAACTTTTTAAGCTTGAGCTATCTATGGGACATCTCTTTCAAAACATCCAATAGGCAGTTGATGATACAGGACTGGAACTTCAAAGAAGAATTAGGGATGACCATATGGTTTTAGGAGTAACTACATAGAGATGATATTTCAACTCATGCTTAATAATAAGATTACCAAGTTAGTGAATATGACACGTATGATGAACCAGCAAAAGAAACTGAGAAGAAATGGTCAAACATGTAGGAGGAAGACTGAGAGAAAGTGGTATCACAAAAACACACTTTCCCATCCTGTGCTATTTTTGTCTGTTTTCCCAGAGATCCTCTAAAGTATACCTACACATCATGTAGAGACTTTCCCTTAGGTCTTTGAAACCCACTTGTACCCACCATGCACCTCTCCATTTTAACTTGGGTCACTCACAAATTTGATTCTTTTGAGAAAGTGATATTCCAAGACTTGCAACTATATAGCACCATTGGGAAAATAGCAGTAATAATAAGATAGATTCTTGTGTCAGGGAGCAGCTTAAGATCATTAAAAGCACTATGTAGTTTTCAGAAAGCAGTCAAACCTGCCTTCTGACTCTTACTAAATTCTGGGCCAAGCTCATTGTTCTTTCTGCAATACTTATCCTAAATATGAATACTGACATATTAACTCAATGGACTGGCCAGCCAATTGCGTGTAATAGCCTAAAATATTGGTATTTTCATTCTTTTTTCCTGTATTTATAATCAGTCATGGCTAGTATAATAATAGTCATGGCAAGCATTTATGTAGTGATTTAAGGTTTGCAACAAATATAATCTCACTTAATCATTTTAATATTATGGAATGATGTAATAAGCATACACAAAGAGTAGGATCTGGAGGATCTCACATTTGGACCCTGAGCCAGAACTTACCATATAGCAGTACTGAATATCTTTGGCAAACATGTGTCTCATAGGTAATTAATTAATCATCAGAATGTCCTTGAATGGTTATATATGTGGTCTCATTTTCTGAGGAAAAGGCCTTAACATATATATGTCTTTGTTGGAGGAACCTTTAAGGCTTTATTGTTTTCTACAGAGTTAAATATCTTTTTTTTTTTTTGGTGATCAACATAGAATGAGTATAATAGGATCTTGTATTTGCTACACCTTTCAGTCAATTTGAAAGACCAATAATGTGGTCTGCCGTGAAAAATCACTTGTGAAAACCTGCATTTTCCCTTGTCTTGTCTTTATCAATGGCATGCTTGATACATTTGTAGATGATTGTTTCAAAC